AAGTATAAAATTTCTGAAAATTTATTTAAGTCGACATTAAAAGGTTTTCATAATCCTCATCATTTAGTACCAATAAACCCCATTTTTCACAGGCTTTCATTTGGTATAAAATTCATCATATCTTGTATTTGAAATTATAGCGGTACCCTCCTTGAATAATATTATTTTCCACCCTGTAGAAGTATTTTCTGATTTAGGTTACGAACCACAAATGCCTGTTTATTTACCCAAAGGTCAAAAACAACATACGACGAAGGAAACTAATGAAGCTCGGCTAGTAACAAAAGTTCCATGGACTGTCGAGTCATATCATGCTCGACTAAAAAAATGACGCTTTTTTTCAGAAAGAATAGAAAATCAGTTACTTCCGAAACTTCAAGATTGTGTAAGAATAGTTTCCGCCTCGTTGAACTGCTATCGAGGACCAATCATAAAAGATCATAATACACTTTATACGGATAAACTGGCAAGACTAATGAAAGATCGTTTAACTAAAAACAGTTATCTTGCTGAATTAGTTGAGGCTGGAGAGCTAAATATTAAACAAAAAAGGAAAAAAATTGACGAAGTGGATTTTGATTTTCCAAAAATGGAATTAGTGGATTTACGCCTACTTTGTTTTGGATCATATCAAATCAAACAATGTCAGACATATGCTGAACAACATCTTGACGCCAACGGCGATTTTGCTATACAAGTTTCGAAAGAAACGGACGATATTATCCGTTGCGCTATTCAGAGCCGACATAGCAATTCCACAAGATATTACGTTTGGATTCAGTTTTCTCTTATAGGAGATTCTATTACATCCTGGTATTGTCAATATAAAACTGGCGCCAGAACTATTGGTGCCTGCGCACATGAAGCAACGATTATATGGTAGCTTTCTTATGCACGACATCACAACTTCGAAGGTTCAAGCGGCCGAAGAAGACTACAGCAATCAATCGAACAAATAATGCACTCAGAATCACACGAAGAAGACGACAATAATACGTAATGCACTAGACAAACACAACGGCCCTTTTCAGGGCCAAGGGGTGAAAGACTAGCCGTCCGGAGTCCTGCATGTTCGACATATAGCGACTACATGGCACCCTGGGAGGAGAAAGACTGATAGATACAGATCACGGGTGAGTATCCGATCAATTAGTCAATATTGATTAAGCAACTTCATCAAAACTAAGCTACTGAAGATGCAGCTCTCTGTTTAACTAGTATTGCTGTTAAGACCTTCGTTTCACTATTATAAACTAAGAATATAATCAACGAATAGATGCGATTATACAGAGAATTCTTGATTATCTCTCTCGTCAAAGCACTTTTATACGGGGGACAGCCATTTCTTCATGCTTATTTAATTCTGATTCCAGCCACATCGTACTCATCAATAACAGAAACGTAGTAATTTCTGACTTACAAAGATAAGATATAATTTTTTTGGGTGAATTTTTCAACATATGTATATATATATATGTGATGGTACTCATTGAGAATACTTAGGTATCAAACGGTTCTTTAGATAAAAAAATTAAAACTCATGATATTGTCTGAAGAAAGCTCAGTATATAAGCAAGTTCTTGTGAAAGTTTCGCCGATGAATAACTTTTTGTTGTTGAGATAATGTCATCTCAAGTTTTCGTATATATATGCACAATATACTTTGGTGATCATGTTTCAGGTTTTTATTCAGTCTCTAGTAATTTTGGAAAAATGGTAATCATGTGGAAGTAAAAGGTCTATAATACTGTTTCTAAATATGAAATTAGAATTTTAAAATCTTTCTTCTTGATTGAAAAAAATGCGGTTCCAGGGTTCCAATTGGTTCTTGCTATGTAATGATAAAGATTTTTGCTTATCTAGGTAAGTAAAAGTACATTGGAAAAAATGATATTTTTAAATGTGTCACTAGGTTCAAGCTACAAAATTATGACATAAAATTGGCACCTTTGGCGGGTGGCAGATTTGGCACCTTAACGCGCGGGGTCCTTTATCGATTTTTAGCAATAAGTAATAGTTCTAGTCTGGATGACTTGACATTGGTATCGATATCATTTATTCTGGTAAAGCATCAAGGATGTCTGTGCAGATATTGATGGCACGCTTCGATGATTTTCCTTCCTTCTCTCTCTCTCTCTATGGTTCTCTCCTATATAAGCGTGGGTTATATGTGAAGTAGAGACATTCTGGATATATGAAGTAGCAAATAAACATCATTGCCGAGAGTGGCAACAAGCTATTTATCCAGTTTGTCGTTACAATGTGAACAGCATTCAACCCACGTTAGTTGTACTTGGTTTCCTTCGTCATTTACTCGTACTGAAATCATGATACCTATTTATTTTTATTCTTGCACTTACTAACAAGTATCAGAAAGTACAATATATCAAACTTAATCAACATCATAAAGCAACAAAACGTGCATATGATGAATTACAAGATAATGCTCAATCAGCACTAAAAAATTCTTATTATCAACCATGAAAGTTAGATTCCGTTTCTGTTAAATATGATAACTTTGTTTCATTTCTTTTGAAAAGAAATGTTTTTGTTTTAATATTTCTATTTGTATAGCATTATTGCTAAATCTTATTGAATATAGAAAAAATAATACAGAAAAAAATTAGTGTGTCTCTATAGATATTATTTTCAGATATCTTATTAGAAATCTTAGCTAGATTAAGCGATTTTTCTTTTTATTCACAATCTCATATTTCTTTCCCTTGTAATTACTCTCTAGTCAAAGATGTTCGCTATATGCTTTCTGATTTTTCATGTATCACTATTGACAAATGCTTCATCAAAACGATGACGTCATAGTTTATATTGCTTTTCTTTCTTTGAATGAAACGATAACTATGACGTTATCTTTGCCAGGTATGATGACTATGGAAAAGTAATATATAAATGCAGACAAGTATTTTGTTGACGAACAAGCAAGATAATAGTACATACAATGATGCAAACATTTATTGTTGTGTATGCTCTTTTCATAGGCGCTTATTGCGCACCTATGTTCGATGAACAACTCAATAATCAATGGTCTTTATTTAAACGTGTTCATAAAAAACAATATGCTTCAATAGATGAAGAAATGACTCGGTAAATTAGAAGATCTTTTCTAATGTATCATGTTTTTGTATATTTTACAGTCGAAATATCTGGGAAAATAATCTAGCTAGAATTCATCAACATAATCTTGAAGCTGATTTGGGTGTTTATAGTTATACATTAGGAATGAATCAATTTGGTGATATGGTACGGTTTCTTTTTTCTTACATTATATTAAGAAACTATAAATTTCTTCTTGTTTTAATAGACTCATGAAGAATTTAAAAAACAATTGAATGAATTTAAAATATCTGCTAATATGGAAAAACATAAATTTGATCACGATACATTCTTCGCTCTATCTGACGTTACTGTCCCACGAGCTGTTGGTATGTACTCTGTTTTTTTTCGTTTGACAGATATAACTTTGATTAATGGATTTGGTAGATTGGCGAACAGATGGCTTTGTAACATCAGTTAAAGATCAAGGTGCATGTGGTTCTTCGTGGGCTTTTGCAGCTACTGGTGCACTCGAAGGTCAACATAAGCATCAAACTAGACGACTAGTTTCGCTGTCTGTGCAAAACTTAATTGATTGTTCAACTGATTTTGGTAATGCAGGTTGTAATGGTGGTGTTATAGATTCAGCCTTTCAATATATTAAAGAAAATGGTGGTATTGATACTGAAGAAAGTTATCCATATGAAGCACGTAATGGTAAATGTCGATTTAACAGTACAAATATTGGTGCTAATTCTACTGTAAATAATCAATTTATCAGTAAAATAAAATTTATCTAATTAAGACTTTAATATTCTAGGGCTTCCGTGATATCAAAACCATGGATGAAGCTGCTCTTACATATGCTATTGCTATTAGAGGTCCAATTGCTGTTTTTATTGATGCTTCACATTCGTCATTTCAATTCTATCAATCAGGTGTTTATGATGAACCAAATTGTTCATCGACAACGCTAGATCATTGTGGTTTAGTTGTTGGTTTTAATGCAACAGATAGTCAACTTTATTATATTGTCAAAAATTCATGGGGAACAACATGGGGTATTGATGGTTACATCTGGATGAGTCGAAATAAGAACAATCAATGTGGAATCGCGACGATGGCTAGCTATCCTAATGTTTACTGACACTGTTTTTGTTTTAATTGTTCGATATGTAAAATCAAGATTAATTCTTCAAGATAATTTTCTTCCTTTATTATGTCACTTTATACATAGATAAATCAGATCAATCTAAATATTGTTCTGCTTTCTTTATCGCATTGTTAAAGAAAAAGTTTAACTTTTGTTTAGATGATTTAATGATAAACAAGGTTTTATCATTGGTTAATCAATTATAAAACTTTCTGTAAAATTTTCCGAATTTATAATCTTAATAGTGATGTTTCGATAACCATTCTGTGTCAGTATCATATCGTTCTTATTTATTTTATTCGAGCATTTTTGTCCTAAAAATACAAATAATATGTTATTCTAGATTATATTGTTTAGCTGTAATTATTCTTAATACGAATGAATGTATCCAATTGTTGTTCTGAATAGCATTATTTTTAACTCAATCGTTCCCAATAATAATATTCCTAAATAGTATCATTGTTATCTATGTTTAATATCGAGTTTTACAGTCCTATATATATATGATGATGCTGATACAAAATAGAATCGAAGTATCACTATTAGGATTATAAATTCTTAATATTACTTATCTATTAACCATTGAAAAACGTTAATCGATGACAAGGATACTTTACATTTAGAACAATGTTTTAGTGTTCCGCTGTTACAATATAAACATTGTCAGTAAAGATTACATGATATAGATTTACATAAAAACTCATTTTAAATTTGCTATTTCAAATTTTGTTCATCGCGAAAATCAGTTTACTACATTGATATATTATCCTTATATTCATTTCTTTATTCTAATCCAACGTTAGAAAGATATTTATTCTTCAAGAAGAAGATAACAATTTTTCAACAAGGATTTTAGCTCCAGCAAATGCTTGCCGTTTGAGTGTATCAATAGCAGATGGTACAAGAAGTGATCGAATTTGTTCACATTCATCAGGTTGACCATGTTCGAGCATCCTAAATATCATCAAAAAATTGAATAGAAAAATGAAAATTGAAATTTTTATTTACATGACAAAAATGAAACAACCACGATTACATAATATCCATGTACGTAGTTTATCGGGTGAAATTGATGATAGTAATGTTGATACAAGTGCTAAAATAAATAAAAATTGATAAAAAATAAAATATTTAAATAAAATCTTACTTTGATCATGTTTATTCTTTTTCTGTCTTTTTCCATCAGCTATAATTAAATGTCTTAAAACATTATGAGCAGTTTGATGTTCAATAAAATTTGTTTCTGATTGAGCTTCAACAGATGATGTACTCAATACTGTACTTATTGATGTATAAAATGATGATAGATCATCATCAGCTTAAAAAGTAAACAAAAACAAAAACAAGAAATATTATAATACATCGATAAAAGATTTGAAAAATCTTACGCGAAAGTCTTTCAATCATTTCAGTCATCATAAAACCTCGAAAACCATCTTTTAATGTTGTAAGACTATTGGCTGTAAAATATTCCAAAAAATATGATTTGCAGTACTCAAATAATTCACGTTGTCGAACATCAGGATCTTTTTTACTAATATAAAAATAATTCATTTATATATATATATTAATTATGATTTATAACAACAAATATTACCTAGTATTTAATGAATCACTTGTTTTCATCAATTGAATAAGTTCATATTGTAAATGTTTAGTATTACGCGGTGCAATTAAATACATAAGTACTTTTTTACCATGTGAATCATTGATTATCTCATCAAAATTCGACATTAATTCCTAAAAAATGAAAAAAAACTTTTTTTTAAACTAAATGATATTTAGTTCAATTACAAAAACATAATTCGAAAAAAGAAATAAACAGATACGAGAAAACCAAATGATTTCTCATTGAAAGTACCAGAAAGTTAAATAGAAAACATAAAGAAAATCCTACTGATTTTATTATTTTCCTTCTGAAACCAGCCTATATACATTCACTTGGAGCATAATGACTTACAGCGAAATGAACTATCAAATACATTTATATTCTTTGCCAATGTAACTCGAAGAAAGGAGAATAGCTAGTTCTCCTAAGAAAAATGGTAAAAATAGTTATTAGTCGGACTTGATTACATATTTTTGTAGATCCGCAGCTCTCTAATGCTAAGATTTCTTTAATTATATTATTTATTTAAAATCTGAATAAAGTTTTAAGTTTGTTTTCAAAAGAAAATCTTTTGAAATCTTTCATACTTGTAAAATAATTTTTGAAACAAGTTTTGTATCATCAATAACATCAAATATAGTCCATAATACAGGATAACCTTGTTCTTCTTTTGCTATTTTAACCACAAATGATTTTAAACTTTTTATTAATAATTTTCGATCCTAAAAATTTTAAATCAATTATTTAATTTTTATTTATACAGAAAAAAACCTAATAACATACTTTATTTGTTCCATACCATAAACAATAAATTGCAACACGTGCACCATCACGACTATGAATCATTTTAATTAATTTTTCTTTTACTGCATCAATTAATTCCTAATAACAAAGAAGAAAAAAAAAAAAAAAACATAACAAATTTAATTCATTAAAACAAATATATTTACTGTTCGGCCTTTTTCATTAGCATTTCGTAAATATTCATGCATAACTCGATGAATAATTGATGCACTCAATAGATCCCTTAATAATACAAAAAAACAAAACCTTAATTATTTTAATCATTAATATGAATAACACAGATTTACTTTTGAATACAAGCCATAAGATTTTCCTGCATATAATCAAGTACATTTGTACGTTGACCAGTAGCTGTTTTATTTGCAAGTAATTCTTCAATATTTTTAACATCACTTGTCTAAAATAGAATATATAAGATTAAATTTAAAAAGAAAAAAAAAAAAAAAGCAACATCTAACTTTAAGAACGGCATATTCTCGACCATAAAATTCTTGAACAAGTTGAAAACGTTCTGCTGAATTACAAATATCATTATAACAATATTCCAATACACGACAACCAATCTATATTATTAAAATAATTCAAAAGAAGAAAAAAACAGCAATAATTCATTTAATTACTTACTGAATGTCTGGCTAATTTGCAGACATGNGAGTATAGCTACACTTTGTCTATCATTCAATACACATTACAGTTTTCATCCTATCGCGCTATTCTATTTGTAAAGGGTTTCTTGTGGAATTTTCTGTAAAAGACTCTTTTATTTAATGTCAATGATTGCTATACAAATGATTTGTCCAGCTGGCGCAACTTTCCAAGACAACTTCCTCTAGAGTGTGGGTGTAGATATGGGTATCGGATGCGAATGTAGCGTGTGAGTGTAGGTGTGCAGGAAGAGCAGACTCACACCCACACTCATACTCACACGCACAACCCACATAAACACCTACACCCACATTCCACTATGAAAAAAGTTCAACAAGGATTTTCCGCCTGAAGATTTTTCCCATAGCCAGTTTTTCCAAACGTATTATCGTGAAAGAGAGCCATTCGTTTGAGCTGAAACTTAAAGAATATAAGAAAGACCATGACATCTATTATTGGAGAAATTTTCAGGCGGAAATTCCTTGTTGAGCTTTTTTCATAATACACTGGGATAGGCTGAAAACTCAGTAAAATGACCATAATTCGAGAAGAAAGGTCTAATAGCACGATCCCTTTTAGAGTTTTCATTTACAATATGAGTCTTACCTATATACAAAATATGAGTTCAAACGAAAGTTATCAATTGGATGGGTTCGCTCGTAAAATGGAAAAAGTACAACTGTGAGTTCGCCTGGACACCCCCCCCCCCCCCCCAACACCACGCACGCCGTCATGTAGCGGGTGTTTNGTTTTCTACAAGATTATATTTCAGCTTGATTAAACAACCAAATATGTTACTTGTCTATTTCCGTAGGTGCATCATTCAAGAAAATAATTGATCGTGGTACTCCTAATATACAGCAGCAGTCCTGTTATAAGTAGCATTTGTCGCCTTGCTGAAGCTACTATCTTTTGTCTCCCCACAGTTCTGCTACAAGGATTTTAAAGTAAACATTCATTTGAACCGAGCGACAAGGTGATATTTGTATCCATTACAACCTGGATGGAGAAGGGTATGAATATGGAAGTCCATGTAGCACACACTCTTCCACATCCTCTACTCGACTCCCAGGACCTTTAGGGTCTAATTTTATGTCATCTTTGATTCTTACAGAAGCATAGTCTGCGATGCGTGAAATTTCACGAGGAACTGTTTGCCAACGAAACATCAAAGCAAGGAGAAACGACGTTATCTTCCCACATTATTCTGGGTCTGACACAATAGGTGTCTTTCAATGAACTCTGACAACCTCTGACAAACTGCCTGTATTTCAAGGATAGTTGTGTATGCTATGCATCACGATTGCTATTCAAGAAGAATTTTATCATTTCGTACATATGAACACTTTCCAGTGTAAATATGTTATTGATTCAGCATAGAAGCGTGATGAAATGCGAAAAAGTAGATAAAGATGATTTCTTCAAGAGCCTCGAACTGGTCTCTCTGCTGCTTGAGCAGCTGCCCTAAACCAGTTAGCGAGAAACAGCGTCGTTTCTGTTTTATTGTCACTTGATACAAATTATTTTAGTTTCTTACATGTTTTTACCTCGTTTTTTTTGTTTACTCATTTTCAGCATATTACTTAGTTATCGAAGCTCAACTCTTATGGCATTTATTTTATAGCTAGCGCATATTCCAGAAAACAAGCAAAACAGACAAGAGACACGGTCCAGAAAAAAGATGTCTGCAATTGATGGCTGATTGAAGATGCCATAACAGCAGTAGCCTGCACTTCTACCATCCTTCTTTTATCGGCCAAAGCCCGTACTGTGATCAACGCACTTGTAGGAAAATCACGTCCATCAAAAATTTCTTTTCGAATCAGAACAAAGCGATCACCAAGGCTTGCGTTTATTATAAACACGGTCATTGCTACTATATCATGCAAGTTGCTATTGTGTGCTTCGACTAATGTCTTGTTGATTCGAGCGAAGATATCTCGCACTTGTCCTTCAAAATCATTCTCTAGAGAACGATTGGTTTTAATGTCGGAGACAGTCGTAACACCGGCAAGATAAATCAAGGCATGTGGACCCTCAATACGAATGGAACGAGAATAGGCGCGCTGCTGCATATTAGGAGTACCACGATCAATTATTTTCTTGAATGATGCACCTACGGAAATAGACAAGTAACATATTTGGTTGTTTAATCAAGCTGAAATATAATCTTGTAGAAAACATAATTTATCATACTAGTTGAAAGGAGATAAGCTTCCCACAAGAAAATCTCGAAAAGCTGCTACAGTCTAGAATTTTGTGAGACACGTTTGTCAATGAGTGTCGAAGAATGCGGCTAAAACAGTGTTACTAACTCTTTCTAACTTACCATGTTAAGCGGAAAGAATAAAATTGCTAACAAGAGCAGAGTTCATGACTCGTGTTTCGATATTTTAATAGTTGTATATCGGATTGACACTGAAGGATTATATGCATAGTGTTGTCACGTAATGATTCAACAAGAATTCAACTGCACACTTTTGGAATGATTCAGTGTATTATTGAGTATATTGTTCCGCACATTCTGATCTATTTGATCGATAGTGAGGTGCTCATACGACTAAATCTCTCTGTGTACCAAAAGTAATTTCGTATCGAGCTGTCAGTCGAGAGTCTTTTTATGGCTGTTTGTTGATGAATCATGGTAAAATTATAGTGTTAAACTGTGGCAGCAGTGAGAACATTTTCAATAAATACGGACTCAACATTAAGTCTCTTCTATGTCTCATACTGAGGTAGTCGTTGTGAAAGTAAGAAGATTTCGGATAAGCCACCGTATCCGAAGTGTCTTAAAAATCCGCGGGAAAAATTTACATAAATGTCTTTCAGAATTAAACGGTTCTGGAGTAGAAGCGCTAGAATACCGACCAACAAGTTCGAAGAAAATTTTCAGATGCCGAAATTGACTCCGTGATTAGATTGCTCTAGAAAAATAACGGAGGTGAAATTTATTTTAACGTTTTCTGATTTACCTGTGTAAAAATAACAATAGGAATAATTCAGCCCCTATCAAAATTACACGTGAAAGTCGATTTTCTCAACTGTACTTTAAACATTCCATCGACTTCACTAGGGTTCCTGCAACAAGCAAAATATGTAAGAATCGAATTTAACATTAAAGAATTTTACCAGGAGCTTTAAAACTTTTGCATAGCACAAGTTTTGAACATGTGATTTTTATTAGCTTTCTCAGTAGAATGCATAGTTTCCATATTTATTGAGCAAACACTGCTGTCTCGTACTAAGAGAAGTAATAAAAATCATATGTTCAAAGTTTTTGCTAGGAAAAGATTTTTAAGCTCGTAGTAAAACTTTTAAATATTTAATTCGATTCTTACATACTTTGTTCGTTGCAGAGGCCCAAGTAGAGTCTTGATGATATTTCATACACAAGCCAGGTACAACGAATTGTAGAGTAGACTTCACTCTCTCTCTCTCTCTCTTTCGAAACGTTGAGAGACTCAGAACGTCAAAGAGCAACTGAAAAAATCGATTGTCAAGTATCATTTTGACGGTGGTTAAAGTGTTCCTATTGTTATCTTTACACAGGTAAATTCAAAAACGTCAAAATGAATTAAATTTCTAATTTTTACTAGAGCTACCGAATCAGCTACTCTATGTTGAAATCTAAATTTTTCTTCGGTCATGTTGGTCAGTATTCTAATTATTCTGCTCTTGATTCTTTTTTATCTACGTATTATAGGATATTGTTTGAACTTCCATATCAAATAATATCGTTTATAAGACAGGTACAAAATAGTCAAGCTTAACTCATTTCGAAGGTTCGTACAGTTGGGAGGGCATATATTCTTTCACTTTTTGCTTTCGGTAGTGTTCGCTCTTGCCTCCATCTCTCGATAGAGAAAGAGGCTTGAATCGTCCCTATCGAGAGTTCCTCTTTGTACGACAACTGAGCAAGAGTCGGTAACGAACGATAAAATGTGACTATCAACATTTGGCCCGCAACAACGGCCATGTCTACTCCCATCTGAGATTCATCGGTTATGTCCCCACAAACGGCGCACTAGCTCCCTCTTAGGGCAACAAGTGCCGGTGCTTCCGAGTTATCATAAATCCGTTTATTTGTGCTCAAACCAATGTGTTGTCGTGCAGCAGAAATTAGCTTTATTTGATCCGACCATACTGAATAATTCACAACAACAATCAGCCATCGGTGTCTATTCTCATTATACCGCGAGCGTATAACAGCCTTCGAACGTATCTATACTTACACATGCTACCGCTCAAAGCAGACACGAATCTAGAACGTTGGATAATACTCACAACTCGGACAATATGGACAGTTGCTCACCGCATCGAATCTATACTACTGCACAACCATTGTCACAATCAGCACTGAAATGATAACGCATCAATTGATCGATATGCAAGTTGAGTCAACATGACAACAATGCTTATGAAACAAACTATGGCCCGTGGTAACGAAGACATCCGGTGGGTCCAAGTTCGTATCGCAGACAGATGGATGAACTATGAATTGAGATTTCGGATGAGGTTCACCGCACTGCACAAATCTGTTATTTCTTCTATTGCTTTGTGACATATTTTTAAAATGAAGTACGTAAAAAGGTGCCCGAACCTTAAAAAGCATGAGTACTCGGGTATTTCTCTCTCTGCTCATTGTGGTAAAACACACTTCTCAAATGACTTCAACGGTAGTGTGGTTAAGAGCTATCAAGAGACGCTAACAATAAACCTCCTTCTAAGAATCTCAGTCGCACGGAAAACCCTTAATCTGGAGGCATTTGCCAATCAACTTACAGATATGAACGATTTTCCGCTACTGAAAAGTCAGCATCAGAATTATGTCAGAAACCAGGTTGTACCAATCATGAACGGGGAAACATCCGCAACTGTCAAATCACTGTTTGATCGAGTATATGATCAAATCATAGACCTTAGTGAGCTATAAATACTTTACAAGGGTTTGGTTGTTTAGGCCTTATGAGTAGAGATATGCAATTAGTACTATTACTAGTTTTGCTGGACTACTATACTAATCTATTCGATATCTTGACTAAACATGCTCCGATCCCACTCAAATTTATATCAGTACTAAAGCACTCAGTACTGATTAAGGTTCCGAAGTTTGAAGATAAGTCAATGTTGTGATCAAAGATATGAATTTGTTTCATATACTGATTGATTCTTAAATCAACAACATTTGCTCTTTCTCAGAGATGCAAGTATTGACTCATCTGATGTTTTTAGCGCATATTTATTTCATAGCTAGGAAGTGTGTGACAACGTCAGCTCATTTGTCAGTGCTTTAGTTAATCAATATGGAAGCAATGGTTTCGTGCATTTTTCACAATCGAACATACGATACTGATATACTACACTGAGTTATCAAAAAATGTCAATGTGTTGTATGTATATTTCAATGACCGAAATAAAATCTTTTTTTTTGTTTAATCGGTTCTTTGCATCGAATCATTGATGGTCGAAATCGGCAAACGGAGATAATGGTGTACTGATATTGTTGAAAAGAGAAAGATATGTAAAGTGAAAGAAAGAATGTCTAGAGAAGCACATGGTTGCGCTGAATATATATATATATTTAATCACGATACCTCATATCTACTACTAATACAAATATTATCGGTGTGATTGTTCCTTATGTTCGTTCATTTAGTGCAGTTATTGTGGCTATATATTAGGTATGGAACCTTTTCCCGACAACTATTACTTCCACAGATTAAATTATTCATTCGGTTTCCTTTGTGTTTCTTGATTCTAGTCTGGTTCATAAATATTTTACTGAAAATAGATCGGATGATGAGAAAGACATGAATTCATTCTTCTAATTATTACTAGCTAAAGCATTGATAAATGAGCTGACATTCCCATACATTTCCTAACTATGAAATGAATATATACTGGAAACATCAGATGAGTCGATACTTGCATCTTTGAACAAGAGCAAATGCAGGATGTTTCACAAGTTTTGATACACGAGAAAATAAGTTTATCTGCACGTACAGCATAATTCGTAAAGAAATTTATTTTATATAAGCTTCAAGTATTCGTGACGGCCTTTCACATGGCATAGAATTCAATAACATCTCTTGTAATAATAAAAATACAAACATGAGAATA